CTTAGCATAAACATTCAAAGTTCCTCCATATTGTAGAATTGAGAAGAGCACCAAGCACCTCCCACCAATGCCAGAGGACTAGTCCACTAGGTAGAGGACAGGAAAGGTTTTCACCACGCCAACCACCAGGATAGAAGTCCGAACACTTCTCACTGCATCTTTGTATTGGAGCTGCCAAGGAAAACACAGCATGACCATGCAAAAAAGGATGGAAAGAATAACACTTTCACTCACATGGAGGAAATACAGCAACATCAGCTACAATAGTTATGTGTCTCTCCCCTATGGCTAGTGGGTTCTCCCAAACAAGAAGTGGGACAATTGGCTCATGTGCCATAGCAAAAGGCTCCCTCCCATTCCTTTGTGGTGCCTGACATAATAAATGTTAGGGTGTGTGTCAGTGGCCCTGACACACATGCTTAAGAACAAAGTATTAAGTCCACAGTAGGGAAAAATATGTCCCCACAAGACAATAAGGCTGGCACAGGCTGTAATGGCTCTTCATCTCTTGGGAAGCAAGTGTTCTACACCTAAGGCCCATTCTTACATGGCTGAGTGGGAGTTGAAAGACTATGCATATGAGACTCTTTCTCAACATGCAGAATGACTCAGTAATTGCCAAAGAGTATTCTACTATATGGATATGCATTTACTTATTCATTTATTAGTTAAAGATGAATTCAATTTTGTGTTGTTTTCACATTTTGGCAATTATGAATAATGCTATTATGAACATTGGGGTACAAATTACTGTGTGGATGTGTTTTCATGTCTCTAGTGGATATCCCTAGGAAAGTAATTCCTGGATGAAACATGGATTATTTTAGAGAAATCTGCCAAGTACAATGACCAAGACTTTGGGGATAAGGAAAAGAGAATATTCTAGGCTAATTCTGGGTTTCTGGCTCAAATAGTTAGTTGATGGTAAATTCTCATTGAGATGAGATTAGGAGCAGAAGAGAAATTTTGGAAAGTGAGGAGAGGGGATAAAACATTAGGACCTGATTATAGTAAGTTTGAAGAGGAGTCCATAAAATATCTAAGAGGAAATGTCAAATAAGCAGTTGAATATGCGGATACAGAGTTCAGAAGAGTGCATTTGGCTGAAGCCATTGTTGAGTTACTATTGTTATGTAACAAATTATTCCTAGATCTAGTACAATGATTCTTTATTATACTCATAGGTTCTATTGGTCAGGAATTCAGACAGGGTATAGCAGGAAGAGTGTCATTGAGGAGATCTGAATAGCTAGGAGTTTGAAATCATTTGAAGGGTCAATCACCCATGTTTTGGTGTGTAAGTTGGTATAATGCAAAGGCTGGAACTGACAACTGGATTGCATGTACAAGGACCTTGGCTGCTTCAGACTGCTGTGTTTAATATAGTTGGATTTCTTACATGCTACCTCACCGCTCCAAAAGTGAGAATCCTCTAGGGTAAAAAGAAGGATGAACTCCTTTTTCTGAACTAAATTTGTTCTGTGGTTACAAGGAAATCAAAATCATATCCAGGAGCCGAGGCTGTGGCGTAGCAGGTAAAGCTACCACCTGCAACACCGGCATCCCATATAGGCACCAGTTCTAAGTCCCGGCTGCTCCATTTCCGATCCAGCTCTCTGCTGTGGCCTGGGAAAGCAGTAGAAGATGGCCCAAGTCCTTGGGCCCCTGCACCCATGTGGGAGACCCAGAGGAAGCTCCTGGCTCCTGGCTTCAGATCGGCAAAGCTCTGGCCATTGCAGCCATCTGGGAAGTAAACCAGTGGATGAAAGACCTCTCTCTCTCTGCCTCTGCCTCTCTGTAACTCTGCCTTTCAAATAAATAAACTAATTTAAAAACAGAGAGAGAGAGAGAGAGAGAGAGAGAGAGAGAGAGAGATATGCCTTCTAGGTAACTGGATATATGAGTCTGGAGTTCAGGGTATAGCTATGGACTGGAGCAGCCAGTCCCATATGGGATGCCGGCACTGCAGGTGGCGGCTCTACCCGCTACGCCAGAGCGTAGGCCCCAGCAGTAAAGAACTTTAACAGCTGGCATCTAATGCCTAAGCAGTGGGAATTGTAGCTCCCAAGGGTAGGCAGTCTGGGTACTTCAGTTCTCCTATCATTATCTAGTAACCCCAGGGGACACCAGGAGCAGGCTAATCTACAGGGAAAGGTGAAACCCACACAACTTGGAGGGATCGCCCCTGAAACTGCAGTTTTAACAAGTGACAGAGTTGGCGTAGTGGAAAATTTAGTCCTTTTCCCACCACCTCTCCTGGAAACACAGAGCAAGTCGCCATTTTGGGAGGGCCTTGAAGGTCGGGAAATGGATGTGCAACGGAGGAGTGTCGTTCCAAGCCCCCAGCGTGGAAGAATGAAGTCTCTAGCCCCGAGGTAAATCGCGCGGTAAGGTGATTGATCCCCACACCTGCCTGCTCACCCTGCCTCACTCTTTCTGAAGCTCCCCTCGTGCCGTGTCCGAAGGCCGTGTCCGAAGGCCGGACGCAATGCACCGTGCACAGCTCTAGTGGGGAGGAGACACGAAGCCTAGGAAGAAAGTGGAGGAGCTTTGGAGCTAAAGCAAGGCACCTGTGGAGCCGAGGCGGGAACTGTATGTTTGTTCTTGGGCGGGCCAGGCCCCTCGCCAGCGTGCACGCGCACCTCATGCACACTGGTCCCGCCTCTAGCCCCTCCTCCGCCTCTCCCCAGGTGCCTGAGCGGCCTCGCGTGCTTTCCCGCCAAAATGCTGTGGCCGCATCTCCCAACCCAAGCATAGAGAACACACAGCTCACAGAAATATGGGTTTGACGCAGAAAGATGCGGCTGATCGGATCCAGACACGTGTCCGTGCGGTCTCCTGACCCCATGGAGGTCCAGTTTACTCAGCTTCTCCACACCGAGGCCAGAGGGAGTGGGGGAGGAGCCTGGGTGTACTCTCAGGTTTGGCTTCCCCACCTGTTTGCCCCTGTGGAGGTGATGCAGAAAGAAGCCGGGGAAACGTTTGGGCGCTATCTGTTCTGCTTTCCGCTGCTGGTTTTTTTTTTTTTTTTTTTTTTTTTTTAATATTATGTTTTGCTTTGTGCCTTCTTTGCATTCGGTGAGGCCTGAGCATGGCCATCGTAGCAAGCCACACGAAGACCCCTTATAACCACCAAGAGCCAGCTGCGCCCACGGGCCGCTGAGGCAAGGACAATGTCATGAAGGCCCGCGCCTTACCTTCACATCTCGCACACCCAGTGACAACGCCTAGTGGCTGAGAGCGGGTCTGGAGTCTGACTCTAGGCTGCATGTTCTGGATGTGTGGTCCGGGTTTCCCTCACCTGGAGAAAATGAGGGAGAACAGTAGATTTAAGTAGCGTTGATCGATTCAGTTTATTTAGTAAATAAAAATGCAGGCTAGGTTCCTTCCCGGCTCTGGCCCCGGCTCTGGCTCCTGAGTGCAGCCTCCCGCTAATGTGGATCCTGGGCAGCAGCAGGTGATGACTTAAGTAGTTGGGTCCCTGCCACCTGAGTGGGAGACCCAGACTGAGTTTCCAGTGGGCATTTCATGGTGGGGGGAGGGAGTGAACCTGTGGCTAGGAGCTCGCTCTCTGTCTCTCTCTCTCTCTGTATTTGTCTTTTCTTTTTATTTTTGGACAGGCAGAGTGGATAGTGAGAGAGAGAGAGAGACAGAGAGAAAGGTCTTCCTTTGCCGTTGGTTCACCCTCCAATGGCCGCCGCGGCCGGCAAGCTGCGGCCGGCACACCGCGCTGATCCGATGGCAGGAAGCCAAGGTGCCTTCTCCCTGGTCTCCCATGGGGTGCAGGGCCCAAGCACTTGGGCCATCCTCCACTTCCTTCCCGGGCCACAGCAGAGAGCTGGCCTGGAAGAGGGGCAACCGGGACAGAATCCGGCGCCCCGACCGGGACTAGAACCCGGTGTGCTGGCGCCGCAAGGCGGAGGATTAGCCTAGTGAGCTGCGGCGCCGGCCACCCTCTGTCTCTTATACTCAGGTAAGTTTGCATTTCGGTTTTAAAATAAGTTAATTTTTAGTATAAATATATCTCAAGCATTATTTATCTGAAATTCACATTTCACTGGGAATCAAATTCATATTTAATTGTTTTATCTGGCCCCGCTTTAAGACATTGTCAGGAGACAATGCATAACTTAGAACAGTGCCTGGCACATATACTAAAAGTTTATATAAAATGGCTAATCCTAACCCCCAAGCATATTAAATTGACCCAGAAAATCACAGTTAAACTGGTTTTGCAGAAAAGTAAAACCTTCTCTTTGGCAAGTAGCTTCAATGTCATGTTCACAAACATAAATATCATGTTTGCCGCGGTTGCTGTAGCTTTTTGCCTAGAAATCCCAAATGTGTAGGGTTTTTGTCTCCAGTTCCCTCAATTGCATTCACCAGCATGAAAACAAAATGTTACATGCTAAAATTCATTCAAAACCGTGAAGTCCATAATGTCCAGAAAACACAAACACAGAAGCTGTAGCAAGATCTGGGATTGAGTTAGCCAAAACAGAACCGGGTATTTCTGGTTTGATCCAGCCATATCTGGACAAAGTTTTATGGAATTCGGATTGATTTGACCCAGAAAATCACAGTCAAACTGGTTTTGGAAAAAAGTAAAATCCTTCTCTTCGGCAAGTGGCTTCAATGTCATGTTCACAAACCAAATATCATGTTGGCCGCGGTTGCTGTAGCTTTCTGCCTAGAAAACTCGAATGTGTAGGTTTTTGAGTGTACTACCTCAAATGGCCAACCCTCGGAAAGCTACTCTATTATAAAAGTTTGATTTAAATGCCCCCCCCCCATTGCATGGCCATAGAGTGACCCCTTTCCACTAACACGAAGTGCCAGAGTCTGTGGGTCTCCCAGCATGTAGCACCTTCATGTGGGGATTTTAAGGTTCTTAGTAGTGTTGGTACTGTTCCCTGCACACAGTGTTGGGGTGGGGCAGGGTTTGATGAAGTCTGGTGCATTGTGATGTTGGAGTCAGTGACACGCTTTCTGTGGGAACTAGTAGTTAGAGTCTCTCTCTTCTAGAATTTGGGGGCACATAATCTTTTGTGGAGGATAAAGGTGTGGGAGCTAGAAGGAAATGGGGTTTGAATAAGGAAGCCTATGGTATTATATGATGTTAGTAACAGGTTCTCCCAACTGGGAGACTGTATATTGAGTGGCACTGGTCTCACTGAGCTCATTAAGAAATCTGCTGTTCTGTGTGAGATAAGACTTTGTTCTGTGTGAGAAGTCTAAAGAAGAAAGAGAAAGTGGAAGTGGAAGACCCTAGGATTATAATTGTAAGTCTGTTTGACCCAAACATTTCTGTTTTTTCTCTGTTTACTCTCTCAATCTCAGCATGACTTTTCACTTCTCTTCCAGTAATAGCAACTTATTACATCAATTTATATTCTATTTTTTATTAAAATCCTTTTGATTTCATCAGCTTACTTTAATTTTTATAAATGCCTTAGTAGGGAAAAAAGAGAGAGCTTCCTCCCTGAGGTCAAAAGATATTTAAGTGCAATGCTTGACTCTCATCACAAAACTGATGGAATGAAATCTTAGCCCAAGATTTAGACAGAAATGTCAGACAACTTCCATTACTCTGGTCACAGCTCCTGGTCTTAAATTAGCAGAGGAAATTTTAGGAAGTCTGAGATTGTGGGGTTATACCTACATGAGTATTCACATGAAAAAATTAAGCATTTACCTGCTCTCTATGCAATTTATGAGATTATCTCAATTTTTACATAACAAAAATAATGATCTCATTATTTTAAAAATGTGCGAAAAGCTTTTGGTTTGAAGTATAACAAAATGTAAATATTTGATTTAATTTGGGTGACAAGATTTCTTCCTTTAATTATTACACAGAGTTCATAATTATGTATTTATTGTTCTACTGCCTTCTTTTTTTTTTTTTTTTTAAGATTTACTTATTTATTCGAAAGTCAGAGTTACACAGAGAGAGGAGAGGCAGAGAGAGAGAGGTCTTCCATCCAATGGTTTACTCCCCAGATGGCCGCAACAGCCGGAGCTGCACCAATCTGAAGCCAGGAGCCAGGAGCTTCTTCTGGGTCTCCCACATGGGTGCAGGGGCCCAAAGACCCGGGCCATCCTCCACTGCTATCCCAGGCCACAGTAGAGAGCTGGACTGGAAGAGGAGCAACTGGGACCAGAACCGGCGCCCATGTGGGATGCCGGTGCCTCAGGCCAGGGCATTAACCTGCTGTGCCACAGCGCCGGCCGCTTTACTGCCTTCTTTAATCATGAGGAAATCTACAGGAGGATTTGGAAAGGGAGGGAATGTTCTCTGAAATAACCGTTGACTAAGAATTAGGCTGACAAGAAAGGCCTGAGGGTCCAGCAGGCTGGGACAGTTGATTCCACTTTCCCATCTTCATTTCTCTCCAAATAAGTTTACTATAGCAGCCCATTCTCCCTTTTCTGCATTTTCACTCTCTAGAGCAGCTTCTTCCTCCTGACATTTAAACATATATATAATTTTCTCTTTAAAAAAAATCCTTCTTTGCAGAAACCTGTCAGTTGGTCTTCCCATACAACAAAATTGAAGTGATGTAGTGACTTGCTAGATGGAAAAGAAGTGTTTGGAATTGTTTTAGCCAGGATTAGGAATCCCACAGGAGGTCCTCCATAGCACACTGCTGCCAGCCACTGTCTCCAGCAAGATAAGTACAGAAATTCAGAACAGGCATTTAAGAGTTTGTATAGGCACTCTCAGCTTCAGCCCTGGTCCAGCCCCAGCTGCTAGGGGAATTTGGGGAGTGAACCAGCCAATGAGAACTGTCCCCCAAATAAATAAATAAATAAATATTTTTAAAAATAAACATGAAAATAAATAATTATAGGAAATCACAATAGAAAAAATATGCATTAAGTGTACACTGGAATTTTGACACTTCATTTCAACAGTTAGAGAATTCAAGGGCTGGTGCTGTGGTGCAGCAAGTTAAAGCCCTGGCCTGAAGCGCCGGCATCCCTCCCATACGGGCGCTGGTTTGAGACCCGACTGCTCCTCTTCTGATCCAGCTCTCTGCTATGGCCTGGGATAGCAGTAGAAGATGGCCCAAGTACTTGGGCCCCTGTGCCCATGTGGGAGACCCGGAAGAAGCTCTTGGCTCCTGGATTTGGATCAGCGCAGCTCTGGGTGTTGCAGCCATCTGGGGAGTGAACCAGCGGATGGAAGACCTCTCTCTCTGTCTCTATCTCTTTCTGTAACTCTGTCTTTCAAATAAATAAAATAAATCTTTTAAAAAATAAATAAAAATAAAAAATAGAGAATTCAAAAATAAATCCTCACAATAAAAATGAAATAGATAAATAAGGTTTCAATATTTAGAAAACAAAGGAAAGCAGAAAAATAAGGTAAAAACTAAGTGTACTAAATTAGAAAATATTAGTGTAAAGTAAATCAAAGAGTTGGTGTTTTAAAAAAGGAGAATGACAAAGGGGAAATAGATACAAATAATTTTATTTATATCTTGTATGGGGAATGGGGCCTGAGTGGGGATACAATGGAAACCTTTGGGGCAGTGTAAATTTTCTATATCTTGACCATCTGGGTGTGAGAAGAGGGGGCAAAATAAATAAGTAAACCAATGGAATGCCAGAGGACAGAAAGTGCCGAGTGAGAAAATGTGTGGAAAAAGCCAAAGGTGGGCTGATATGAAGGAAATGGCTCACTATAAAAGCCCCTCTCAGGGGCTGGCGCTGTGGTGTAGCAGGTAAAGCTGCTGCCTGCAGTGCCAGCATCCCATATGGGCGCTGTTCCACTTCCGATCCAGCTCTCTGCTATGGCTTGGGAAAGCAGTGGAAGATGACCTAAGTCCTTGGGCCCTTGTACCCACATGGGAGACCCAGAAGAAGCTCTTGGCTCATGGCTTCGGATCAGCTGAGCTCCGGCCGTTGTGGCCATTTAGGGAGTAAACCAGCAGATGGAAGACTTTCTCTTTCTCACTCTCTCTCTCTCTCAAATAAATAAATAAATAAATCTTAAAAATAAAAATGCCCCACCCAAAGGTCAATGCTTAGTCAAAAATACAAAGATGGTAATTAAGTGCTGCTAGGTTATATGGTAACTTCATGTCAGATCTCTCTCTCTTCTTGTATACTTACATATTTAACTTATTTGAAAGAAAAAGAGACAAACAGCACCCATCTGCTGGTTTACTCACAAATATCTGCAACAGCCAGGCCAGAAACCAGGAGCTAGGAACTGAATCTAGGTCTCCCCTATGGAGGCCATCAGCAGTGCCTCCCATGGTCTGAATTATCAGGAAGCTGGACTCAGGACATGAGCCAGATATTGAACCCTGGATGGATCGTACCATTACCATAGTTAAGATATAGAACATTATCAACACTACAAAAAGTTCCCTTTCACTGCCTCCCAGGTAATCCTCTGAAATCTTAGTCCCAGGTAGCCACTGGTCTGTTCTCTGTCCCTATAGCTCAGATTACTCTTTCCTAGAATTTAATATAGATGGAATCATATAGTATATGCCCTTTTCTGTCTTCCTTCTTGTACTTGATATAATGTTTTTAGGTCCATCCATGTTGTTAAGGAGTCTCAGTAGTACATTCTCACCTTTATGTTTCTCTAGTTTTGAGAGGGCAAAGAGATAGATAGATAGATAGATAGATAGATAGATAGATAGATAGATAATAGAGCAAACTCCTCAAATGTGTTCAACAGCTGAGGTTGGGGTTGGGCTAAGCCGAAGTTGGGAGCCAGAAACTCAATCTGGGTCTACTTCGTGGGCTGTAAGAACCCAACTACCAGATCCATCACTGCTGCCTCCTAAGGCCTGCGTTAGCAGGAAGCTGGACTCAGGAACCAGAGCCAGGACTAAAACCCAGGCACTGTAATGTGGGATGTGGGCATCTTTTATGTTGATTACTTTTATTCATTTGAAAGGCAGGATGACCATAAAAGAGAGAGACAGCATTTCCATCTACTTGTTTACTCTTCAAATGCCCGCAACAGCTGGGACTGGGCTAGACTGAAACCAGGAGCCAGGAGCTCCATCTGAATTTCCCACATGGGTGGCAGGGACCCAGATATTTGAGACATCAACTGCTACCTCTGAGAGTGTGCATTAGCAGAAAGCTGGGTCAGGAGTAGAGGTGGGACGCTATACCAGGCACTTGGATGTTGGCATCTTAACCAGTGTCTTGTCTGCTAAACACCCACTTGTCATCCTTATTTGTATTTGAGGAACTTTTATTTCTAAAGGAGTACTTCACTGTTCCCTTTTTCTCAATTCCATTAATGGCCAGTCTGAAAAAAAGTCCAGTCTAACATCAGATGTTGTGATTAAGTTGCTCTTTCCTTCCCTAGGTTCTGTGGTTCAAGATGTATGCAAACAGCTGGAAGAGCACTAAGATCTCATCGTCACCCCAACTTATTCCTGAATGGAAGAACATGAAACTCCTCATAGATGGTATCTTGAAGGACATAAAGGTGATGTTATGAGAGCTGTTTATGTGGTGGGCTGGGACTAATGATCTGTTTCTGTCACGGCAGGCTGTGGCATAGGCAAGATGTGATCAGTTTTGGAAAGGCCCTCCCATATCCCTGAATGATCTCCCCTTCTAAATTATGGTGATAGCATTAGGTACAATTAGAACACTTTGTGCTGCTGTTAACAGAAAATGGACTTCAATGGATAAAACAGGTAGGAGGCGTCTTTGTCTCACATGTCATCAAGGATCCACATTCTTTCTCTTCCACCATTCTTAGTATGTTAGCTTATGACTTTAAGGTTACAAGATAGATGCTGTACCTCCAGGTATCAGCTTAAAATTGCAAGTAGACACAAGAGGGAAGATTATACAGTCACAGAACTGTGCCAGCCTAGGAGTATTGTAGTAGGTCTCTATGTTGCAAGAAGTTCTGGGTCCAAGATCACCCTAAATAAAACTAGAGTTCTGTAAGGAAAAGGATTGACACAAAGTTGGAAGCAGTAATATCAGACACAGATACATTGCTTGCTTCTTAGTTTTTTGAAATCCTCTGTAGAACCTAGATATTATTGAATGAATAAATGAATTTTATGTACATGAAGGCTGAAAAGGAGAAAAAGAATACAAATTTCTTAATGGAATAAGGAGTATGCAAAATGAGTTTCTGATTCAGTTAAGAGGGTTGGAGGGGCCGGCGCTGCGGCTCAATAGGCTAATCCTCTGCCTAGCGGCACCGGCACACTGAGTTCTAGTCCCAGTCGGGGCGCCGGATTCTGCCCGGTTGCCCCTCTTCCAGGCCAGCTCTCGGCTGTGGCCAGGGAGTGCAGTGGAGGATGGCCCAAGTGCTTGGGCCCTGCACCTGCATGGGAGACCAGGAGAAGCACCTGGCTCCTGCCTTCGGATCAGCGCAGTGCGCCGGCCGCAGCGTGCTGGCTGCAGCGGCCATTGTGGGGTGAACCAATGGCAAAGGAAGACCTTTCTCTCTGTCTCTCTCTCTCACTGTCCACTCTGCCTGTAAAAAAATAAATAAATAAAAAGAGGGATGGAGGTTTGGGAGTTCAGATACTAGCATCTTTTTTTTTTTCCTCAATTCTGCTGTTGCCACTGAATAAGCAATGACAGTGAGTGCTGGAAGCTCTTGAGATCTGGAAATGAAAAATACAGGAAGAAGAGAGATTCTGGGGGCCAGAGCTGTGGCACAGCAAGTTAAAGCATGGCCTGCAGCACTGGCATCCCATATGGGCCCTGGTTTGAGTCCTGGTTGCTTCACTTCCAATCCAACTCCCTGCTAATGCATCTGGGAAAGCAGCAGAGGATGGCCCAAGTCCTTGAGTCCCTGCACGTGGAAGACCCGGAAAAAGTTCCTGGCTCCTGGCTTTAGATCAGCTCAGCTCCAGCTGTTGCGATCATTTGGGGAATGAACCAACAGATGGAAGACCTCTCTCTCTCTCTCTCTGTACCTCTTTCTGTAACTATGTCTTTCAAATAAAACAAAATTTAAAAAAAAATTCTGAGTTTCAGATATTGGTTTGAATATAATCTTTTTTAAAAAGATTTATTTATTTATTTGAAAGGCAGAGTTGCAGAGAGAGAGAAGGAGAAACAAGAGAGCTTCCATCCACTGATTCATTTCCCAAATGGCCACAACGACCAGGGCTGGGCCAGGTCAAAGCAGGAGCCAGGAGCTTCTTCCAAGCCTCCCATACAAATGCAGGGGCCCAAGGACTTGAGCCATCTTCTGCTGTTTTCCCAAGTGCGTTAGCAGGAAGCTGGATCAGAAGTGGAGCAGCCAGGAATTCAGCCAGGATGCTGGCACCACAGGCTGTGGCTTAACATGCTGCACCACAGTGCTGGCCCCAAAATGGTCTTAAATCCTTTGTGGATGCAGGAAGCTGGCATGATGGACATTATAAGTAAAGAAGTATTAATAGTTCACTTTAGTTTGGTATTTTACTTTCCAACTAAGATGACCAGAACACAAATTCTGATACAGAGAAACTTGGACAGTTAGATTCATGGAGTACTATTCAGGGGTCAGGTATAGCATAAGTAAGAGAAACCCCAAAAGTAAACTTCATGACCCTGTTTTGGCTGATCAGTGGGAGAAGTTCATGTACCTATATCACAGACATATGCAACATCACTCATTAGAAGGTAATTTGTATTCTACTGTGTAACATATTAAAAGGTATGTAGCTCCCTTTGTTCATACACACACACACACACACACACTCAGCACTAGAGCAGAATGCAGATTATTAGAACTAAAGCAAAACCTATCCATGTTGTAAATAACACATTTCCCTTGGTTACACATAAGAATAGTGAAGGAAGCACATACCACAAAGACTAGCTGTCCTCTGTGGTGGACATTCTGTTACATGTCTGTGAAGTATGACTTTCCCATACAGTATATCATACATGTGTGATTGTAATAGCAGTGGTCTATTGGGTAGAGGCAAGAACTTTGAAAAGTTGTTCCAGCTGTGGCAGGTACAGATATTTGCCCAGGTTTGGGTTCCTTGTTCAAACTCCTATAGGATTATATTTCTTTCTTTCTGCATAATAATTTGATTTGCTTATTTATGCATTAGTTATTTGTTTAATGCCTGTTTTCCCTACTCAACTTTTTTTCAAGAACTAAGGCTATGTCTGTTTTATTCTAAGTGTCTTATAGAACCTACCAGCCTTTCTCACTATAGTCCCTGATCTGAAACATGGAAAACACAAAATTATCTGAGGAGCTATTTTCTTTGTTTTCTAAATGCTCCCTAACTAGTAGTATTCTAGGTAACTGGGAAAGAAATTAATTTGTTATATAGAATGGTTACTTAGGATATTAGGATTACTTTTCTTATGGAAACTTGGTTGAGAAAGCCTGGAAGATTCTTCAATGAATAAGAATGTACTTTGTTATAAACTGAGGGTAAGCAATGGATGACCCCCACCCAAATAATGCTCTCCAAGAGTACTGTGAATGAATGCTGGTTAGTTAAAAAACACAAATGCCGACCAGTCCCTTAATAAGTGTTTATTAAATGAATGAATGGGGATCTCCCTCAGATTGATGAAGAATCAAAGAATGATGCTGTTGTATTGAGTGACTGGCCTAAGATTCTCTACCAGGAATCTCACCATCCCAAGAACAAACCTTTTGTCTGCTTCTACTCCATCAATGTCAATTACTTTGTCTCCTTAAACTGGATGGAACCATATGGAAATAAAGTGCAGGTAAAGCTTCCTCATCCCCCCCTTCCTTAATTTAATTTTGCTCTCATTTCAAAACGATAGGGATGACTCTGAATTAGCTCATTTTAGTACTCATCCCCAGATCCCAACTGACCTGGATGCAGTGATCCTGCACCTCTAGTTATCAGGCCCACATAATTCATATGTCAGAAAAAGTAGACTGATGGCCAAGAAAAGGGCCTTGAGTGTGATGCTTCTATTACATACTCAACTCCTAATACTAGGAGATTCCCAAGTTCAAACTGCCCCATTTTCCCTTAGTTCCATGAGAGGGAACAGGAATTTAAACATTCAGCCCTTTCCCACCCCACACTTTTGGTGGATGACCTGCTTTCATTTCTCATCCACTTCTAGGCTGTACTTTGGATGCTGAAAAAAGGTACAGAAAAGAAAGAAGTTATAGAAAAGACAAAGTTTCATGTGGTGGCTCCTATGCCACCCATCGAAGCGATGGTCCACACAGGTTCCTACCACACGTTAATTGCTTATTGTGGTGATATGCATCTGTGGGTCTTTGGAGATCACCAGCAAGCCTTCACATCTCTGGGAACAGTTCCTTGTCGTTTCTCCATCAGCTGCCTCTGCTATGACTCAGAAACCAAGATGCTGTTGTCTGGCACCTTGGGTGCTATCATTACCTGGTTTATCCTGCCAAGTGGCAGAGACCTCCAGATGGCTCAGACAGTGCCTATAACTGGTCATGAGCTGGTACAGAGCTTTTCCCTGACTGGCCCCCAGGACTCCCTACTTGCTCTGTGCGAAAATGCAGTGAGAGTCTTCACCCACCAAGGGCAGGGCCAGCTGAAAGAAGTAAAGAAGTTCACTCTTGTAACCAGTGGCACCTCCATCACTTGCTGCTTTACCTGTGTCTCTCAGGGCACATTGTATGCTGGAAACAGAGCTGGAGAAATCCATGCTTGGGGTTTAGAACGGAGTAACTTCCTCCACAGTTTCCAGGCCCATTCGTCATCAGTGATATGTGTCCACAGTCGGCCAGAGACCTACACTTTACTAACAGCAGGCGGTGAGGGGGTAGTGAGGGAATGGAATCTTGCATCTGGGAGCCTGCTGCGGCAGCTGAGTATTTACCAGGATCTGCGGCAACTGCAGTTTATTGATGACACCACTCTTTTCTGCCAGAGTACCTCTACTTTCTCACTGCACCGACTACCCTATTTTTATAACCTCTTCCATGTCTGTGGCTCTGCTCCCCAGGACATGCAGCGTGTCTGCTGTGGCCACAATTGGACTCGGATCCTGTGTGCCACCGAGGATGGGTTATTGCGCTTCCTGTCTCCAGTCACAGGGGATCTTCTGGTTATCACCTGGCCTCTTCTTGTCATGGATAAGGCTGTAGCTTGGGCCTATGACTCAGAGAGACAGGAGCTCTTTGTGGCAACAGGCAATCCAGAGGTGCTGGTATTTGATGCAACACGCTCTCCTTGCACAGCCAAGTATCTTGTGTACACCTCGGGAAACTCCACAGATAGAGTAAGATGCCTGGCCTATGGGAGGTCCCGTTTGGGTAAGGGGCTAGATGGATTAATGTTCTGTGGGCATGAGAGTGGTATTGTTAGAATCCTCTCCCACCACAGGTGTGCCCGAATAGAGAAGACTGTTCACTCTGGGGCAGTATTGACATTGTCTACCCTGGAAAATCCCCAGGAAAACTCCTTGCTCTGTTCCTATGGCAAAGATGACATTATACACCTGACAAAAGCTCTGCTTCAGGAGGACAAAGTAATCCTACAACCTTTCAGCAAAATTATCTGTGTTTGCCCCCTAAAACACGTGATACTCTTGCCAGGTTCTGTAGGTGCCATCACTGAGACTTGCTGCTGGTGCCTTTGGCACTACCAGGACTTTCCGACATCATCAGAATCAAAACAAAGCCCCATGTTCAGAGAGACAAAATGCCTCCATGAATGTGATATCACATCATTTGATGTCTGTTTTTCTCTGGAACTTTTTGTTACAAGGGATATTGATGGCTCAGTTCGGATATGGGACTTCCACGGTAGACTTGTGACTGAGTTAGACTCAGCATTACGTTTTGGTCCACTCTGCTTTGCCAATAATCGAGGTGATCTGCTTTTGACTTTCAACCAGAGTATTTATGTAGTATCCTGCTTAAAATTGCTCCCCCCAGCTCAGCTGATTCACCTAGGTATTTTGAACACTGTGGATGAAATACAAGAAGTCCCTAAACCCTTCCTGCCTAGCTTCTTCTTTCTGTTTGAAAAGGTGCTTGTACCCAAATTTGTCTACCTCGGACAAGGGCTGCAGGAATTTCAGGGGCTAGAGATCCTCATCAACAAACGAGGTATTGCTTTTGATAATACTGTGCCCCATGTTGTTGAGGAAGAGAGGCGTATGTCCTTTGTGATTCAAGAGAGACCAAAACGGTCTTGTTTGGAGGAGATGGATATTAATATGTGCACTCTTGACCCTGAGCATCATCGTCCCCCTTATGTGGCTCCTGCTCAATTACAGCTGGCTGGCTGGGAAGGATTCAATCCCTACCACATAGTTCGGCGCTTTTTTAGTAAAAGGCGCCCTTGGCCTTTTACTCCTGATGGCTACATCCCTAACTCAGTGATCCGTGCATGTCTTTGGCCTAAGGGTACCTCAGTCTTCCTAAGTTTTGGTATATACTCACTCTACCAAGATAAGGATGGGGACATGACTGAACTTGGAAGAGTCCAGGCACTGCCGCCTGAGACTTTAGAAGGTGAGGAAATCTCACTGAGAAAACAGAAGGCTAAATTCAAGGAGTGGAAAAGATCTTCCTTTGATCTTGAAAGCATGACAAACCAAAATTGGATGGGAAGAAATCTGAGTGAAGGGTTTATAGAAGATTTAATAGAGAATATCCTTAGCCTCACAATTTACTGTTCTGTAGAGAATTACAAGAAATATTTTAGTGTCCTGGCACAAATTTTTACCATTTACCAAATACCTTCAAGATTGTATACGGAGACAGCCTATCAGCTCCTGAAAGATACTACCCATTCTAATCCGCATATCCGCGAGCTAGCCTGGGAGATGTTAGAGAGGCTAGGCATCATGAATGATGCTTTTGCTATTCCTCTGGCTATGGGATTGATGGACAGTGAAAAAAATGTGCGGACTAAGGTCTTACATCTTATGACAAGAGTCATAGGCATTCAAACCAAGACCATGTTGATACATCTGCTGAAGAAACCAGAAACTCTTCAAAAAATGCAGTAAGTTGGTGATCTTCCCCTCTTCTGGTTTCTTCTAGCTCCTGAGCTGCAGAATCTGATTGTTCCTTATCTTTGCCACAATCGTTTTTATGTTCTCCCCCACCCCACTTTTCTTTGTTTCTATTTGCTCTCTTCCTCAACACCTACCCCTCTTCTTCTGATCATTGACTGGTCTGTTTTCTATCATTTCCTTGTTTTTCTAAAATTTTTTAAATTTATAAAAAAGATTTATTTATTTATTTGAAAGGCAGAGTTTCAGAGAAGCAAAGACAGAGAGAGAGAGAGAGAGAGAGAGAGTCTTCCATCTGGCCGCAACATCCATAGCTGGGCTGATCCAAAGCCAGGAGCCTGGAGCTTCTTCTAGGTCTCCCATGCGGGGACAGGGGTCCAAGGATTTGGGAATATTCCACTGCTTTCCCAGGCCATATCAGAGAGCTGGATTGGAAGTGGAGCAGCCAGTACTTGAGGGCCAGTGCCGCAGTTCAATAGGCTAATCCTCCGCCTGCAGCACTGGCACCCCGGGTTCTAGTCCCGGTTGGGGCACCGGATTCTGTCCAGTTGCTCCTCTTCCAGTCCAGCTCTCTGCTATGGCCCGGGAGTGCAGTGGAGGATGGCCCAAGTCCTTGGACCCTGTGCCCGTGTGGGAGACCAGAGGAAGCACCTGGCTCCTGGCTTCGGATCAGCGCGGTGCGCTGGCCACAGTGCGCTGGCCTCAGCGGCCATTGAGGGGTGAACCAACGGCAGAGGAAGACCTTTCTCTCTGTCTCTCTCTCTCACTGTCCAGTCTGCCTGTCAAAAAAAAAAAAAAAAAGGAAGTGGAGCAACCAGTACTTGAAATGGCTCCCATATGGATGCTGACACTGCAGGTGGTGGCTTTTACCTAATACGGCACAGCGCCAGCCCCCATCTCCTCACTTTTCAAAGTTCCCTGAGACTCAAGTCCACAAATCCCCCAACAAGAAGAATCCCTATTCCTTGCTAGACTTTATTCATTCTCCATTATCTATCCTTTAGTTCAGTCAGTTCTGTTTTATTTGTTTGTTTGTTTAAAAGTCAGAGTTACACTGAGAGAGGAGAGGCAGAGAGAGAGAGAGGTCTTCCATCTGATGGTTTACTCTTCAGATGTCTACAATGGCCAGAGCTGAGCCAATCCGAAGCCAGGAGCCAGGAGCTTCTTCTGGGTCTTCCACATAGGCGCAGGGGCCCAAGGACTTGGGCCATCTTCTACTGCTTTCCCAGGCCATAGCAGAGAGTTGGATTGGAAGTGGAGTAGCCAGGTCTCAAACCGGCACCCATATGGGCGTTAACACACTGTGCCACAGCACCGGCCCTGAGTCAGCTCTGTTTTAAATGGCTACTTTATCTCTGCCTCTTCCACTGTAACTTCTTTTTTTCTTTCTTAAATTTTGTTTTATCACTAACAGTATTCTCTCCCCCACCTTGACTTTTGTAGGATGGAAATTATTGGGGATATCACTCTGGGCCAGCTGCTGGACATTCAAGCTAGTGATATACAGTGCCTACTTACTCAAGTGGAGCAGCAGCTAAATGAAAACCTGACCTTATCATATAAAGACAGACTATTTTCTTTTGACTTATCAAGGGAGAACAAACTTAATACTCTTGATGAAGAACCACTCAGACCTTTATCAGAAACTCAAAAGATCTCTGAACAGAAAAAAAGAAAGAGACGTGTTCAAGCAAAGAGCAGAAAGCTTAGTATGCATTGGGTGATGTATGGGACATGTTTGGGATCAATTTTAGGGCCCCTTTGGGATCAATCATAGGGCCCGTATGGGAGGACCATTAAGGCCAAGCTATATAAAAGGATATCAGTGGCAACAGTTAAATGGGAGGGTCTTATTACTCAAGAAAATAAGCTTCCTGAGAAATATCTGATTCACAACAAATACCAAGGTCTTATTTCTTTAGGATATGGAAGCTGGGATGAAATAGTGAGCATTTCTATATTATGAAAATTTAGTCCACTTGCCTTTGAAACTGTTATTGCAGTTCACTGAACTAGATATTACAAAGGATCTCACTTAGGACCTCTATGTTTTTCTTAACTATTATTTTCCCAATATCTTTGCAGTTAAAAATGATGTGAGAGTTGTCAAGAAACAGAAAAAGATAGAATTTAGAAAGGTTACTTCTGTTTTGGTGCCTTCAAAGGATGCAGTTAAACAAAGCCTTGAACAAAGAGTGGACAGCAGACCAGAGCAAATTGACACCCAGCATGTTGCCCCAGAGCCAGAACCTCCACAAAGTACTTTTATCCCAGTCAAATCCCAGATTGTTGCTAAGAAAACAGAGGTGGTATTGAAAGTTAAGGAAAGCACAGAATCCCTTGGGGTCAAAGAGGCCATGGAGGTCACAGAGACCATGGAGGTCACAGATCAATATAGTGTGGAAGTTGAAAGCAAAGATATCTCTAAGCTGGATAGACGAGAACATGTGAAAGAGCTTTGGAAAAGAGCAATTAAAAAAGGCCGAATAATAGCAATTATGCAACAGAAAGAGAAAAAGGATTTGAAGGATATTTCAGAAGCAACTACAGAAGAGCCCATGGAAGAATTCATACAGGTTTCTGAGCAAGAAAAATATAAAAGGAAGAAACCTGGAAAGAGTAGCCGTGGTCTAGCTGGGGCTCCTGGTCGCAAAGGTAAATTAGATACAAGCTCTTGGCGAGATGACATTTGCTACCTTGTCACCTCAAGGATAACAGGTTCCGATCCAGATGTGTTAAGAGATCTGAGTAAGGAATTGGTGGATCTGGCTCGGGTGATGCTTGCTGACCGGCAGCCTAGCTGGGATCTTTTCCAAGAAATCTGTCCCCTTTTAGAGGACTCAAGGTCATTCTCATCAAAGTTGGATGGCAGAATAGTGCAAGAACAACCCATCATGACAGAAACAGTGGTTAAAGGAGCTATCAAGGATGAAGGGAAAGTCATATCAAGAGAAAAAGGGGGTACAGTGTTGAAGACTAAAAAAGCTAAGAGAGTTTCTTTCTTAGAAGATCACCTCATTTTAGAGAAACAGAAATTTAAAACTGAAGTAAGGAAACCAGCTAAGCAAGAAGGGAAAATAGTTAAGGAAGAAAAGAAACTGAAGAGGCCAGAGGAAAAAATAATGCAAGGAAAAAAGGAATTGACCAAGGATGAGAAGAAACTGACCCACCTAGAAGAAAAACCAGCTTCAGAAGAAGAAATACTTGCTTCCCTACAAAAGAAATTAACCACAGAAGAACAGAAACAAGTCCTAGAAAAAAGGAGATTGCCTAGAAAAGAGAGGAAACCACTAGGAAAGGGAAAAGAAGAGATCCAGAAAGAGGGGAAGCCAACATTGGGCTGGGAAAAGATTATGCAGGTCCAGGAGGAAAGTATAAGGACCAAGGAAAAAAGGAAATTGTCTTGGAAAGAGAAGAAACTGCATGAGGAGGAGGAACTGGCCAGAGAAGAAGAGAAACTGACCTGGGAAAAGGAAGAACTGGCCAGAGAAGAAGAGGAAGTATCCTGGGAAGAAGAGGAACTGGCTAAGGAAGAAGAAGAGGAACTAAGCCAGGGCATAGAGAAACGAGTTGGAGAAAAGAAGAAACATATCCAGGAAAAGGAGAAACCTTTTGAGGAAGAGGAAGAAGAGATCTGGACACTAGAAGAATTATCCCAGGATCTTTTGTTTAAAGAAGAAGAACTTTTGGGGGAAGAGAGAAAACAGGCATTAGAAAGGGGAAGACTGGCAGAGCAAGAGAATAAATTGACCCAAGAAGAGAAGAAACAGTCTGGAAAAGAAGAAAAAGAGGCTCGTAAAAAGGAACAAATCCAAGAAAAGAGAGAAAAGCAAGTTGATGAACAGGAGACACAAGACCAGATAGAGAGACAGACACAGAAAGAAAAGAAAGAGGCCAAGAAGAATAAGCAGTTAGCATTGAAAAGAAAGAAACTGGACCTAGTAGAGGATGAAAAGTTTGAAGAAGTGAAGAGATTGTCACAGAAAGATAAAGAGCCCTGGAAAAAGTCAAGTAAAACTAGGGAAAAGGAGAGGAGGGCACAGAAAAAGGAGAAAACAACTGTGGAAAAGGGACCACTGGCTTGGGGAAAGGAGGAACTGGGTCTAGAAAAGGAGGAACCAACTGAAGAAATAGAGGAATGGTCAAAGGAAAAAGAGAAACAGGCCAGAAGAGGAAAAAAACAGACCTTGGAAGAACAGAGACGAGCCTGGGAAGAGGAGAAATTGGCCCAAAGATTGGAGAAAGAGGCTGAGAAAATAAAAGTACACCCCAGAGCAAAAATGAAACCGATTCCAGAGAAGGAGAAAATGATGGAAGAAGCTGATAAACGGTTCCCAAAAGAAGCAAAACAGGACATGAAAACAGAGAAACAAGCTAAGAAAGAAGAGGAATTAGTTAGGCAAGATGAGAAGGAGGTTGAGAAAAAAACACAGTGGATCCGAGAAGAAGAGAAAATAACTCTGCAAGAGGAAAAACTGCCCCAGAAAAAAGGAATATGGAGTCAGAGAAAGGAAAAATGGTTCAAAAAAGAGGAGAAAGAAGCTGAGCAAAAAAGTCAGTGGGGCTGGGGAAAAGAGAAATTATCCTTAGACAAGTTCCAGGAAAAAAAGGATGATGCCAAGGAAAAAGAGAAAATGATACTGGATAAGAGAATGATCCCAAAATATAGTGAACTGGCCAAGAAAAAGAAACATGTTACTAAGAAAGAAAGGGCAGTAGCCAAGGAAATAACTGTCATAAGTAAGAGAAGGAGAACAATAACCCAAGAAGAGAAAGAAATTATGAAAAAAGAAGATCAATTGTTCCAGGATCAAAGAAAACTGGCCTATGACATTAAGATCAAAGAAAGGGATGTTACCAAGGGAAAAAAGAAACTAAGCAAACAGGAAATAATGCAAGCAAGGAGGAAACTGGATATGGAAAAGGAGCTTAGTTCTATAGAGAAAGAGGAACCTAGTTCCAGGGGGAAAAATGCAAAGATGAAAGAGAATCAACTGTTGATGATCTTGGCTGGAATAGTTAGAGAACTGAGTACACTGCCTTTGAAAAAGACAGAAATAACTGAGGAAGAGAGATCGTCCATTATGAGGAGTGAAACTGATGGTCATAGGTGGGAATTTTTTAAGGGACAGAAGGAAATGACTGAAGAAGAGAAGGAACAGGTTCAGAAAGAAAGAGAGCTAGATGATGACAGAATGGCCACCAGAGAGAGAACATTGACTGAAGAAGAGAGCTTGGAGGAGGACAAAAGATTATTAGAGGAGGTCCAGGAAAAGATAATATTCAATAAAATCCAGATAGAGACTATATTAAAGGAGGCTAAGGAACAGAATCTATTAGACAAACAGCAGCTAGAGGAGCTTGTGAAGAGAATTGAGGAGAATGATCCAGAAAAGACCCAGGCAAAGTGGTTATTAGAGAATATCAGAGAGATATTCTATGAGGGCCTTATTGAGAAGGAAATAGAGGAAGATCAAGTTAAAAAAGAGAAAGTGGAGGAAAGCCCAATAGAGGAGGAAATTAAAGAGGAAAGAAAGTATCTCAAGAAGAAGAAAAAAATAGTAAGCCCGAGTGAAGAGGGACTGGAGGAAATGTTGGCTAAGAAGCATAAGAAAAAGAGTTTGGCTCAAAAAAGGAGAAAGGAAAAGAGATTAGCTGAGAAAAAAAAGAGGCTGGGTAGGAAGGAAAAAGAGGAAAAGGAGCGCCTTACCAAGGACAAGGGGGAGCACCCAAGTGAGGAGGAGGAGAGTTCGATGGAGGAAGAGGAAGATGGAATTATTCTGCCCAAGAAAGAGTCAAAGAAATATCTGATTAAACAGAAAGGGAAAAAGATAAGCCTACGTGAAGAAGAACTGGAGGAAGACTTGGCTAAGAAACATAAGAAAAAAAGTTTGGCTCAAAAAAGGAAAAAGGAAAAGAGGTCACCCAGGAAGGAAAAGAAGCTGAGAAGGAAGAAAAAAGAAGGATCCAGTGAGGAAGAGGAGCACCTTAGCAGGGAGGAAGGGGAGGAATACCCAAGTGAGGAGGAGGAGGAGGAGAGCCTGGTAGAGGAAGGGGAAGATGGAAAGATACTGTACAAGAAAGAGGAAAAGGAGTATCTATTTAAAAAAAAGAAAAGAAAGATGAGCCTGAGTGAAGAGGAACTGGAGGAAGACTTGGCTAAGAAGCATAAGAAAAAGAGATTGGCTCAAAAAAGGAAAAAGACAAAGAGGTTGGCCAGGAAGGAAGAGAGGCTGAGTAAGAAAGGAAAAGTGGGCCCAGCTGAGGAAGAGGAGCTCCCACATGGGGAAGAAGGGGAGTTCCCAAGTGGAAAAGAGGAGGAGGGCCTGAGTGAGGAGGAGGAGAGCCTTAGTGAGGAAGAGAAAGAGAGTCTGAGTGAGAAAGAGCAAGAAAGTCTGAGTGAGGAAGAGGAAGAGAGCCTGAGTGAGGAGGAGGAGAGCCTGAGTGAGGAAGAGGAAGAGAGTCTGAGTGAGAAGGAAGAAGAAAGTCTGAGTGAGGAAGAGAAGAGTCTGAGTGAGGAAGAGGAAGAAAGTCTGAGTGAGGAAGAGGAAGAGAGTCTGAGTGAGGAAGAAAGGCTTAGAGAGGAAGAGGTAGAAAGGCTGAGTGAGGAAGAGGAAGAAAGGCTGAGTGAGGAAGAGGAAGAAAGGCTGAGTGAGGAAGAAAGGCTGAGTGAGGAAGAGAAGGAAAGGCTGAGTGAGGAAGAGGAGGAAAGGCTGAGTGAGGAAGAAAGGCTGAGTGAGGAAGAGGAGGAAAGGCTGAGTGAGGAAGAGGAGGAAAGGCTGAGTGAGGAGGAAGAAAGGCTGAGTGAGGAAGAGGAACGTCTGAGCGAGGAGGAGGAGGAAGAGAGCCTGAGCAAGGAAAAGGAGGAAAGGGAGAAGATGCAGAAAAAAGAGGAGGAAAGGCAGAAGGACGTGGGGATCCTGAGTAAAGAGAAAGAAAAGGAGCACAGAGCTAGGGAGGTGATACGCTCAGAAGAGAGAGCATTACAAATAGAAATCTCAAAGAGAAAAGTGGGCTTACCCAAGCCAACCACAGAAGGGGAGGATCTTGCTGAGAAAAGAGAAGGTACAACTATTAGACAAATTATTTTTAAGAAAAAGCGTTTGCTTGATGGAAAGAGAGAATTTAGACTTAGGGACAAGAGCTCCTTAAAAATACCAGCCCAAGTAACCCAGGTGAAAAAAGAAAGAATGCCCCTGAATGTATTAAAGGGCCATGTTGATTTGAAAAAAAAACAGGACAGTCGGATTTTTGAAGAACATCCCATGACATGTTCATTGAGAAGACAAGAGGAGGTACTCTTGGAGAAAGCCAGGAGTGTGTTTTTACAGACCATAGAAACAGGCTTAGAGACTCAGATCTCTGAGGGTCTCCACAAGCCACAGTTCCAATTATCTGATGCTATCATGAAACCACACAAAACTGAACGTAGACCCAAAGGTGATAGGTGGAAATGGTTCATACGGTATCATGATTTGCCAGCAGAGAAAACTGAAGGCCAAGCTCCAGCCCCAGCCCCAGCTCCAACCCCAATCCCAACCCTTGCTTCCTCTCCTGAAGAGCCAGCCTATTCCAAAGCAAGCATGTCAGATGAAGATTGGATTAACAACGCCTTAGCAAGGCTGCAGGCAGGAGAGCAACTCTCCGGGGACAGTTTCCATCGACTGAACCAGCTTCTCAGAGACTTCCCTTCAAAGGGATACTTGAAATGGATGCATCTCTCCAATCTTAAGACCATTGCTAAACACTTCGGAAAAAACCTAGAGTTAAGTCACCCTGACAAATTACAACCTTATAAGGATATTTTGAGTCCAATGTACTTAAAAGTGATTCCTCCAATTAGAAGAAAAGAAAAAGAAAGCATGCTAGAGTCATTCTGTATCCCCAAGCCAGTGTTCCTATCAGCTACCAAGAGAACTCAAACCCAGCCAATCCTCAACTGGCATCTTGCAGCTGAGTCCTACAGGGAGAAGCAGGCCCAGCAGTTATCCATGGCTGTCAGGAAGATAAAGCATGTTTATCCAGTCAGAAGGTATGTTCCTACAACTCTTTATCCACTTATGGATAAAAATTCCTTGGCTTTGAAATCCCAGAAGGACTTTCCAGCTTTGAAAGGGAGTGGTGAGCTCCTCAAATTTTCCAAGGCAAAGGAGGAAGCACTGCCCATCCCTGCACCAGTATTACCATCAATCACCAAAATAATTCAAGTGCCAAAAGCTATAAATTGGCATATTCTAGGAGAGCCTTACAGGAGTGGGCGAATAGAACAACTATCCAATGTTCTCAAAGAGATGGAGGCACAACATTTTTATCCTGCCGCCAGGGACATTTTCACAGGTGCCCATGCCCCTGTCGACAAACAAACCCTGGCACTGATGTTTCAGAAGGACTTATGGAATGTTAAGGGTAGAGGTAGGCCTCGTAAGTTGCCCAAGTTAGAGAAAAAGACGCAGCTCATCTCAAAAAAAAAGGAGGAGCTGCCTCCATGGGAGACATTTGTGGCACTGTACTATGTCTTGCGGATGCTGCAGCAGCGATATGCCAAAGACACGGCTGCCTGGATGGAACAGTTCTATCAGCTCATGGACCTGTACCAACTTAAGTCTCCTCGCATCCAGAGGCTGCTACAGGACCTGCTACTGCGGGAGGAACCTCAATCCCAGGAGATCACCTACAAAGAGGCACTAAACACCACGGAGCTAGTTCCTGGGGAGCGGTTATTTTATCACCTGTTTTGTGGTAGGTCTCATATCCCCAAAAATCCTCCAGAGTTCCAGGATGTGATACCTCTCCCTGGGCAGAACAAAGTGCATAGTATCCAACCTGTGGGCATTGCCCAATATGGGTTCCTGGAACTTGCCTGGAAAAGCCTACCGCAAGTCAATCCTTACTGTACTGATAGGCCCCCCAACATCCCCACCCCTACTTTCTGATTTGGCTTAATATTAAAATTGGGATCCTACTGGAAAATGATATTAGATCACAGATTTTGAGCCTCCTTACTTGTTCTCCTCTCCAAGGTAGGATTAGATGAGGACCTACTTTCATTCATTTCCAGAAACTTCATATTATGTCTGAATAAAATCATATTTTCTCGCTTATAGCAAGTAGTCTGGCTTCTCTTCTCCAAGCCTAGAATCTGTTGGAAAGTGACCAGAGAAAATATTTACCTCTTTTCCTAAGAAAGACACTTTTTTTTTTCCAGTTTGTTGTATACACCCTTTTTTTTTTTTAACAGAACACATTATTTTTACTACGTGAATATCTAGGGTTTCTCTATTCACAAGTGCAGATTTATTCTTGAACTCTAGGCTCAAGTGATTCATATATTCTTTTACTACAGAGGACATGTACTTTATAACAATCTGTTTAGAAAATATTTTACATAAAAACACACAAAGCATTTATGAATACTCTTCATCTTCACAATGAAACTTCTGCAGAGGTTTGCCTGAAGATCATAATTTTCAACAAAACACCCACGATTGAATAGAACATATCTTACATACTGAAGATCATTGCTATTTAAAGTTTCCCTTTCAACAGGTCTTCAAAGAAGGAGGTACCTTTCTCTGAAGGGAGGAGAGAACCTCCACTTTGAATATGACCTTGTCTAAACAAGATAAGAGTCGGTGAACTCAAAAGGCTTCCATAGCCTTGGAAACTCATGACTGGTGCATAGGGAGATTACTGATGCCATAAACAGGAGTGTCAATTTGTAAAGTCAACAACAGGAGTCACTGTGCACTTACTCCTCATGTAGGATCTCTGTCCTTAATGTGCTGTACATTGAGACTTAATGCGATAATGAGTACTCAAACAGTATATTTCGCTTTGTGTTTCTATGGGGGTGCAAACTGTTGAAATCTTTACTTAATGTATACTAAACTGATCTTCTGTAAAAAAAAAAAAAAAAGAAGAAGAAATTATCAATTCCCAACTTGACTCTCACTGGGATTAAACATGACAATAGGTCTGATCTGATTTCATCATCATTTAAAAAATCATCTATTATTTTTCACTTTATGTTTGTGTGAAGCAAACTGTTGAAATCTTTACTTAATGTATGCCAAACTGATCTTCTGTATATAAAGAGAATCGAAAATGAATCCTCATAATGGAAGGGGAGAGGGAGTGGGAGAGGGGAGGGATGCGGGGTGGGAGAGACGATATGGGGGGGAAGCCATTGTAATCCATAAGCTGTACTTTGGAAATTTATATTCATTAAATAAAAGTTAAAAAAATTAAAAAAAATAAAGTTTCCCTTTCTTCTACGGCTTCTGCATATATTAAGCAGGTCTTTTCTTTCATTGATAACTTGTTAAGTAAATTTGCCTTTTGTTGCAAGTTGCTCTTAAACAAGAACTAAAGTGGTCATGATGAAATCAAACTGACATGGGCCGGTGCCGCGGCTCACTAGGCTAATCCTCCACCTTGTGGCGCCGGCACACCGGGTTCTAGTCCCGGTCGGGACGCCGGATTCTGTCCCGGTTGCCCCTCTTCCAGGCCAGCTCTCTGCTGTGGCCAGGGAGTGCAGTGGAGGATGGCCCAAGTGCTTGGGCCCTGCACCCCATGGGAGACCAGGATAAGCACCTGGCTCCTGCCATCGGATCAGCACGGTGCGCTGGCCACAGCGCACCAGCCGCGGCGACCATTGGAGGGTGAACCAATGGCAAAGGAAGACCTTTCTCTCTGTCTCTCTCTCTCACTGTCCACTCCTGCCTGTCAAAAAAAAAAAAAAATCAAACTGACATACATAGGGCTTTTAGTAAGGGACCCTTCAGCCTAATAATGGAAGACTTTACTACCTATCAGTAGGAAATCCTTTATTGTTTTGTGTCCAATAACTACTGTCTGGAGTGCTATCACTTCTAGCATAATCACTTGGTATCAAAATATAAAATAAAAATATGTACACTTCAATATATCACTTCTTACCTGAATAATCTCAGATCTCTTGAGAACGTTCCACAAAAGTGGAATTTCATCCTCAAGTTACACTGAAAGTGTACAATGTGTACAACTTGGTCAACCAGTGCCTGCTCCTCTCTCATTTCAAGATTTCTCCCTGTCCTCAAATACACCATCTTACTACTACACCATAATGCACTGGCAGTTTTGTATATAAAATCCAACTCGAGTTTATTTTGGTTTATTGTACATACTTCATTAAAACAGTACTTGGATTTACAGTATCTGCAGAGAGTCCCTTCCACGGTGCTCTCCCACACATTCAGCCACAGCCACAGCCACACAGACATCCATATCACAGCCCCATGTACCCACACCAGTGAGATGTAACGATCAGACTCCTAAAATTAGGCAACTGTTGGAGGGATAAGATTTGATTTGTTTTGCAATTTTTTTTAAAAGAGAAAAGCATGAGGAATGCATTTGGCCATTACAGTACTAATTAAGTTTGTGTATATTAACATATACGGCAGTTAACACTGAGTATTCCTTTTACATTCTTTACACACAGAATGATATCAAGGTTTTGCAATCAACAGAATATTCTAACTTCAGTCTCAATGCTGTATGTAATGGCTCCTATATTCATATAGGGGCTTCCCCTAAAAATAATTCAAATCTATGTAAGTGAAATAAGTCACAGTTAATATTGATTTGACCTAGGGGAGGAGATGGGATAAACAGGTTTCAAATGATCTCACTGTTGGAAAATTAACTGACTTAAAACCACTTGAAATCCCATCTCCCAATTTACAAATATTTCTTAGAAGCTTTTCTTTTTCTTTTTCTTTCCTCCCCTGACAATTTCTCAGTAGCCTAAAGTATTCAAATTGATGTGCAACCCCCACCTTCCCCCCTACAGTCTCCTCCCTCCTCAATGCTAAAATAAACAAGGCATGTGAAACAGGAGTCCCTTGTGTTTTGAGATTTGTACACTTGAGTAGTAAATACATATCTGGTTGTCTTTGATATATTTGAAAACTTAAAAAAAGAGGGGGAATCTTAGGACTTTCTTGCTGTTTAAAAAAATCCCTGTCTCTTTTCAGGATGAGAAAGCCCCGTCAGACATTACAAATAACTGCAACCAATGGGTTTGGCAGCATAAATAATGTCTAGTATTCAAATAGTGAGACTCAAATTTATCTTGTACACAAACTGTTGAGTGTTTCTTGCGGGAGACGAATCAAACCCAAAGACACTGGACATTCTGTGAGAGGCTGTAAGAATTGCAGTTCTGAAGGCCCCTGACTGTGGTTGTTTACAAAGTCCAGTCCTGTTTATTGTGATCCTTGGTATCTTCTTCTTCTGTATATTCTGATGGTTCTTCTGGTTTTGGGAGTCTGCCCACATAATTTTTTTTTTTTTTTTTTTTTTTTTTTTTTTTTTTTTTTTTTTGCCAGGCAGAGTGGACAGTGAGAAAGAGAGACAGAGAGAAAGGTCTGCCTTTACCGTTGGTTCACCCCCCAAAGGCCCCTGTGGCCGGCGCAATGCGGCTGGCGCACCGCGCTGATCTGAAGCCAGGAGCCTGGTGCTTCTCCTGGTCTCCCATGGGGTGCAGGGCCTAAGCACTTGGGCCATCCTCCACTGCACTCCCGGACCACAGCAGAGAGCTGGCCTGGAAGAGGAACCAGGACAGAACCGGTGCCCCAACCGGGGCTAGAACCCGGGGTCCCGGCGCTGCAGGCAGGCGGAGGATTAGCCTAGTGAGCCGTGGTGCCGGCCAATCGTATTTTTCTTTAAGCTGCATTTCCCATTCTTGAACGCTCTCCGTTTGTACTGCATTCAAATCTGAGAGATCATCATATTCATCTCTAAGTGCATCTTTATCTAGACAAAACGTTGCCAGTCCACTGGAGGCATCCGTACCAGCAAATATTCCATATGGTCCGGAGAACCTGCTACCTTTGGTCACGCAGAAGACTTTCCCATTGACTGTGAGTAGGATGCGCGGGGTGCGGGACCCGTCGTACTGGCGCAGCTGCTCCAAGCTTGCATCTTGCATCTTCATGCGAGGCAGAGAGGCGGCAGGGCTCTCCTCCTTTGCCCGTCCCGGACTGGGAACCCAGACCCCGCCGCCCCCAGCGCATCCACAGCCGGTAGGCCCCCAGCAGCATCAGCGCCACCTTCAGCAGCAACCCCCCGACCCCCGTGAGAAGCCCCAACACCGCCGCCGCTCCCACGCCGGTAGCTGCTGCTCTCGCTGCCACTCCCCGGGGTGCCTACCTTCACATCCCCGTCACCCGCCGCCATCACTGCCAGCCAGCGCCTTCCTCTTGTATACATCTTTCCGAGGGCACAGTCCAAGATTTGGTCACGTCTTTATAGAAAAGTGTTCTGGCTCTCTTGGCCTACTATTTCCTTTCCTCTGAGGATTTTGGAGTGAGTATCTTGCAGAGTTGGCCATTGATTTATTTAGCATTAATATGCGAAGCAGAGAAAACTCATTAATTTTTCCCCTTTACAAACTTTAATCTTGACTAAGTTCCTAAATGTGTTTAAGACGCAGTACTGCCATCTACATAATGGAGATACAGCGTGAAAAAGTGGTTAGGAATGCTAGCTGGAGCTGGCGCTGTGGTGGAGCGGGTAAAGCCACCACCTGCAGTGCTGGCATCCCATATGGGCGCTGGCTCGAGTTCCGGCTACTCCACTTCTGATTCAGCTCCCTGCTGTGGCCTGGCAAAGCAGTACAAGTTTGCCCAAGTGGGCCCCTGCACCCCCTGGGAGACCCGGAAGAGGCTCCAGGCTCCTGGCTCCTAGCTTCGGATCGGCCCAGCTCCGGCCATTGTGGCCAACTGGGGAGTGAGCCAGAGGATGGAAGACCTCTCTCTCTCTCTCTCTCTCTCTCTCTCTCTGCAATACTGGCTCTTTTGTCTTAGTTTTGGTTTCTTCAAAATAACATTGTGATAATAATGCCTACCTTAGTGAAATGCCTAGTCAGCTCCTAGAATATAATTCTCTTTTTAATGAGTATCTAATAAGAGATGGATGAAAATATGGGTTCTAGAGTCAAACCAGAATTTGAGTCCCTGCCCTGAAATTCAACATGTTATCTTGAGCCAATGATTTCACTTCTGTATGCCTCAGTTTTCTACTTGAAGGATAGGGCTTGTTGTGATGGTCAAAGTAGCTACGATCACTTCAGTGTACTTGGAACATAAGAGAGGAACTAAAGGCCAGACCTCAGAGTATCTGTGGATACCCTGGGAATAAGAGGAGAGCTGAAGGAGAGAGCCTGTAAGACAGAACAAGACGGCCGGCACCCCGGCTCACTAGGCTAATCCTCTGCCTTGCGGCGCCGTCACACCGGGTTCTAGTCCCGGTCGGGGTGCCAGATTCTGTCCCGGTTGCCCCCCTTCCAGGCCAGCTCTCTGCTGTGGCCAGGGAGTGCAGTGGAGGATGGCCCAAGTGCTTGGGCCCTGCACCCCATGGGAGACCAGGATAAGCACCTGGCTCCTGCCATCGGATCAGCGCGGTGCACCGGCTGCAGCGCGCCAGCCGTGGTGGCCATGGGAGCAGCCAGCCGTGGTGGCCATGGGAGGGTGAACCAACGGCAAAGGAAGACTTTTCTCTCTGTCTCTCTCACTGTCCACTCTGCCTGTCAAAATAAATAAATAAATAAAAATAAAATAAATAAAAAGAAAAGAAAGACAAAACAAGAGAGGAGCTAGAGCATGAAGGAGGGGCTTAGAAGATTTCAAAGTAAGAAAACAGGTCCTGAGGGAGGTGGCAGATTCCAAGGATAGGCTTGACAGCCTAGATCAAAAGCCTGGGAGTATTTGGAAGAGAACTTGGAACACAAATCAGGTCACACGGGAGGGATTCTGCGTCCAAGAGGAACAGCCGGAGCTGACAAAGTAGAGAAGTTCCAGTGCTCAGGGAAGGCATAATGGGGCCCAGCAGAAGCAGATTCTGAGGCTAGAGGAGCGGGGAACCCTGAGTGGAGGAGTTAGAGCTCAGGAGAGATGCCTGAAAGCTTAAGGAAGAAAACAGAGCCGTGAGAAAGCA